GAATTTTCATGAAGATTTTTTTTTTAAAATGCAAACTGACATGGAAATATCAAGAAATGAATTTAGTGTTGGAAAAATTAGATCTTTTGCATAAATGACAAATTGTGTGTGTGTGTGTGTGTACTTTGAATTTCCATGAAAATGGAATGGAAAAACTAAAGACACTCAAAATTGTATCACAGAATCATATAATTGTAGAGTTGGAGCCTGAAGAACATCTGGTCCAACCCCCCTGCAATGCTGGAATCTCAACTAAAGCATCCATGACAGATGACCACCCAACCTTTGCTTAAAAACCTTCAAGGAAGGGAAGTCCACAACCTCCTGAGGGAGTCCTTTCCACTGTTGAGCAGCTCTTACTGTAAAAAAGTTCTTCCTGCTGTTTAGTCAGAATCAAATCACTTCTTTTTAAAAAATCATTTTAAAATCCATTGACAAATCAATTGAAACAGGATCATTTTAATCAAACAGGACACATTGTAATACTTAATAATTATTGCATCGTTCTAATTCTTCAAGTAGTTTATACTCAATATAGCTAAAAAATGGGGACACCCCCCCAAACTTACATTTTTCACTATTCTCAAGGGAAAAAAGCACCTTTCAATTTTGTTCACACAATACAAAAAGCTCATCTGTTTCTATTTTAGAATAGTTTAATTAAATCCCGAGGCTGGCAAAGAGAGATATGTCTAACTGACACCAGCCACTGAATATAGCATTAGGTTTCAAATATATGATACGGTAACAAAAGAGAAGGGGGAGGCAATGTTGGATTTCATTCCTTTTCTTAACTGCAAATTATCCATTTGCGATGTATTACCTCTCTACGGCGCAAGTGGAAAAGCCACTTTTCTTTTGACTATATCCAGGGCTTCTTTTCCCAGCCGGAACTTGCCGGAACTCAGTTCCTGCACCTCTCAGGTGACTCCATTACCATTATAAGAGAACATGGAGAGTTCCAGCACCTCTTTCTATAGAAAAAGAGCACTGACCTTTCTCAAAACTGCTCTTTGTAACAGCCTGTGCCATACACATTAGCCCCTTTGTATGTTACATGAAGGGGCAAAAGATGATGATGATGATGATGATGATGATGATGATGATGATTAATACCCTGCCCTTCCCAGTTTAAAAACTGGGTTCAGGGCGGCTAACAACAAATTTAAAGCACTTAATTGTAAAAGCAGCATAAAATACAGTATAAAAACATGAATAACAATAAAATTCAAAAATCAAAAATCAATTTAGGGGAAATAAGGATTAGATAATCCCCAGGGCTAGCTGGCTGAATTGGTCCTACTTGGGCCAGCGAGGAGGCCAGGGGAGAATTAGCTGTGGGATCCCATAAAAGCTGTGGGATCTTCATAAAAGGGGAGGGGGAGGGAAGAGAAGGGAAATAAAAGATCAGGCTGAATTCAAATTAAAGGCTAGGCGGAATAGCTCTGTCTATAGCAGTGTTTTTCAACCACTGTTCCGCGGCACACTAGTGTGCCGCGAGATGTTGCCTGGTGTGCCGTGGGAAAAATTGAAAAATTCGAAAGATTTAAAAATAAAGTATTTTATAATTTTTCATATTTCTGTTTACTTACTATTTCATAAAAAAGTGATTATAAAATACTTTCTTTGTGTTTATTTGATTCCTATTCAAGAGAATTACTTTATATATAGTCAATATAGGCACAGAGTTAAATTTTTTAACATTTTCTAATGGTGGTGTGCCACGTGATTTTTTTCATGAAACAAGTGTGCCTTTGCCCAAAAAAGGTTGAAAAACACTGGTCTATAGAAAGGGGCTTAAAGTTCCACCTCTGGAAAACTCCCCTCATTGGGCCGCAATATCTGCACATTAACTTAGAGAGCCTGAGGAAGACAAGCAAGCCTATATGTGCCCGTTTCCCTGGGTCCTAGGACCCAGATTTCAAGGGATTCCAGGATCCAAGGAACCCTGTACACAGTGGCGTAGTGTGGGGGTGCGGGGGGGCTGGCCGCACCGGGCGCAACATCTGGGGGGGGGCGCTCGCCGCCTCCGGAGTCGCCGAAGAGCCTTGGGCGCAGGCTGTAGCAGAGCCCCATGTCTCGCGGAACCAACGAGCCGGCAGCGGCTCTCAGCGCTCGCCGCGGTCCCCGCGCATCAGGGCCGCGGAGGGCGCACCAGGCAGCCCCTCCTCACAGCCCCGCCGCCGCCACTGCTGCTGCAGCGGCTGGGCCATGTTGCATTTTCCTCACCTCTCTGCCCTCCTCCTCCTCCTCCGGGCAAGCGGCGTCGTTTGGGCGGCAGCGCCAGCGGCAACTCGCCTCAGATCACCTGACACGGACCCGCCGCCGTCGCTACCTTACCGTAAATACCCCAGCCCAGGCAGCAGCAAGAAGAAGCTGGCAGCGGCGGCAGGTTAGGGGTTAGGGGGCGCAAATTACTTGCCTTGCCCCAGGTGCTGACAACCCACGCTACGCTGCTGCCTGTACATATTGACTTCCCCACCTCAGATCTCCACCTCTTACGCAGCTGGCATAGGCAGGACATTTAGGAGCTGTACATCAGCCTTTCTGAGCAATGCAAGAAGCGGCGATTCTCTTTGCAGATATTGATGCAGCGGATAGTGTCTGGGAAAGGATGCAGTGGCGTGGAGACAAGTCCAGAAATATTTAGAAGCACCCCATGCTTCCTGGTTGTTTGAAAACATCCCAACTGCATGCAACACGTTAGGGCACATTCCTGCTAATCCCCACTGTGATGGCCTGGGAATAGGATTCAGAGGCTGAACCTGAGGAATCCCAGCCTGCACAGGAGTCCCTGCCTCCAGGACCAGCTGAGCCGGGGCTGGGGCTTGAACCTGAAGGGTCCTTACCTGTGCCGGATCCTCAGGAGCAGACACCAGCTGAGTCTGCTCTGGCTCCTGAGGTGATGGAGGACCCATTGCCTGCAGGTGCTCCACTCTCAGCCCCGTCAGGGGAAGCTGAGGTTGCCTCTGGGTCCGGTAACCCTCCAGCCTCTCCTGAGCTGCAGAAGCTCAGGGCAGAGAGGTGGAGGGAACTAAGTTCTCGCAGAAGGAGTGCTCGCCTCCGGGCCAGGAGAGGCGAGTCACCTGTGGACTGGGACCACCCTGTGCCTCGGGGCAGATAAAAGCCAGCCAGCCCAGTCCCAGGTTGCGGGAGCAACATTGTTGGTAACCTGTTCCTGCTGGCACCCTGTCCTGCTCTTCTGCCAGAGTTCCTGACCACACCCAACTCCTTGCCTTGGACCCCGCTTCAGACTTGACAGACAGCCTCCATACCACAGCCTCGACCTTGGACTGGACTCGGACCACGCTGCATGGTAACCCGCCGGGACCAGCACACCCACTCTATACAAATGCCACAGATCAAACACTGCCCCTCTGTTATGTGAGGGCATGTGTCTGTATAGACAAAATGAAAGCTGGTGCTGATGTTGCCCTCTGGTTCTATTGGAACCAAGAAACACAGCTAGTATAGTAAAGGAAATCTGTCTGGTACTTGGCTATGAGCTCCACAGCTTGCAATGGCAGGATGACAGTTAACAGCCAGTAAGTCATGCCATCTCTGCTCAGCAAAGCAAAAACTCTATGGATTTGCAGGCATTTTAACTTCACGCTGCTGTGCCGCCACAATAACCATGTTTTGGAATACTGATCTGAAAAAAACAGGAGAGTTTATGGTGGGTTCCATGCTGCACTGTCTCTGCAGGGTCCACCCAATGTCACAATCAAATTGCCAGTTAATCCATTACAGTGGTACCTCGGGTTAAGAACTTAATTCATTCTGGAGGTCCGTTCTTAACCTGAAACGGTTCTTAATCTGAGGTACCACTTTAGCTAATGGGGCCTCCCGCTGCCCCATCAGTCCTGAGTCTCTTCCCACTGTCCTCCCCCCAAAAAAATTCTCTGGGAGTTACCTGCAACATGAGGAAGTCTGTCTGTACACTCTGGGGTGTGGGGAACTTTAGGAAAAGGAAAGCATCTCCACTAGAAATGGTGAAGGAATTCAATTCAGTACTCATTTGAAGGCAAACTTGTCAAATTTGCCCTTTCCAAAATATTATGAAAACACCGTCATCCTTTGAAATCCTGACTTCTCCCAATTTTGCAATGCAGTTCCTCAGTCAAGTAATATGTACAAAAATGGAGATACTAGTGTGCAGAAAGATATGTATATATTAGTGCAAATAACATAAAAAATGGACTTTGGAAAAAAATGAAATGCAAATTGTGCATATTAGGAAAAAATGCATATAATAATGTGTATATTAGGATAAATTTGCACTAAAATAACTGATGGGTTTTATTGAGGCCTTTAAAAACAACAACAAATAAACTGCAAACCGTTGTGGGAATGTGCAGAACTAAACGAAAGGATGGAAAAATGAGAATCAGAGAGAAAGTGAAATTGACAAATTCATCCATTTCTAATCTCTACACAGAAGGAAGCCTTCTTGCGCGCTCTCTCTCTCTCTCTCTCTGTGTGTGTGTGTGTGTGTGTGTGTTTTAAACCCTCTGATGCTGCAGGATTATCTGGGGAGGTTTGAAAGAACAGCTAGTTATTGGATTTCCTTCCCTCTTCTCAGCAACATGATCGGTTTCCCTTGATACTTTAAGTTAAAGCTTAATGCCAATTGGAGAGGGTTGGGAGAGAGGCGAAAGATTACAGAAAGACTGGCACACAGACTCACACACTCATAGCACTAAGCAGTCACAATGTGTTCTTATCATTACAGATTTTGCCCAATTCTGTGAAATTGTACAAATATTTTTTTTATAAGATAAAGCTGGACAGTGGCAGGATTTTTCAGGATGAAAACCACCCTATTAATTGTACACTGCCTTGATATTTTGTAGGAGTTAGTGGTTTATAAATATTCTTATAAACAAAATAAATCCTATACCACAGCCATTCTAGACTCCTCCACCCTCTCTCATATTAACACGCACACGCGCACACATCAGGCAGACCTTGGTTCAATAAATTAGCCTGTATTTACATGGTTCAAAGTTAAGCTTTTATTTGGTTTTAAATTAAAAAAATAAATTTCATTATTAAAGAGTGGAATGGGTCTAAACTAATGTTTACATATTAGTTTTACTTGGTTGAGAATACCACCAGAGAAACAATAAAGGTGTACTGTTATCACCCAAACAGAAATCTTTTTGTTAGAAAGTTTTGACAGTGGTATAATTCAGCTTAATTGGGGAGGGAAAAAGTCTTACAGGTTTACAACGAATGTTAGAAGTAAACACCTGGCATCCGTGCTATGCACATTTAATTTCCACCTCGTAGTCAATCACTGAACCCGGGGCACTATACGACAGTGCTTATGTCATCTGCTTCCTCTGGTTTCTTTTGTCTGCTTGGCAGGGATTTCAAGTACTCGAGGTGCCTGCGAGCATCCTCTTGATTTTGCCGCACGTAGTAAACGACGTAGGATATCACCATGGTGAACCAGCCAAACATGGTGACCAGCATAGCATAATCAGTAGTCTTTTTAGGGAGGTTGCAGAGGTCGGCGTCGGCAGCGTTGAGGAACGGCCTCCCGGCGTGTTCGTCGATTTCTGAAGTCTTACAGATGATGCTGTTGGCCGTTTCGTGGTTGGAGGCCATGCTCCTCAAGACCTGCTGCAGAGTACAATCACAGTGCCAGGGATTGTTTGCGATCCTAGCCCTGGCCTTTAAGTTGTTGAACGCGTTTTTGTGGACACTTTTAATCCGGTTGTCCGACAAGTCCAACATCTGCAAGGTTTCGGCCACCCCTTTGAAGGAGTGTTCGTCTATGAATTCGATAATGTTTTTGGACAAGTTGAGGACTTTCAACTGGTGCAAGTCCTTGAAGATTTCGTTGGGGATGGAGGTGATCTGATTGGAGTCCAGGTAAAGGAGGACAGTCTCAGGAGGCAGGTCTCGGGGTATTTCCTTGAGGTTTGCATTGCTGCAGCTGACATTCAAACCTCCGGAATGGGAGCAAAGGCAACCTTTGGGGCACATACTGGCAGAATGAAAGCACAGTATCATGAGGACAAAGCTTTGTAAGAGCAGACACATGGAGAGGGAGCGAGTTAACCACAGGTCTACCAGATGCATGCTGGGATGTCAGCATAATCACACAGCCACTTCTCATTTACCCAACAGTGGTGGCAAAGGGTCTCAGGCACAAAACGCCAATCTCATCCTCTTCGGCGACGTTGCCCAAGAATGTGTTAATGCGCGGGCGTCCTCATGGTCGGTTTTCTTTTCGAAAGAACATCCCTGGAAAATCAAAACAAAAGAACAACAACCACCAATCAGACTAGAAAAGACACTCATTTCAACAAGGCACAAATGCAATTTACGGTGCAATCCTTGGCATGTCTACTCAGGAGTAAGCCCCAATGAGGTTCAGTAGGACTTATTCCCAGGTAAGTTGCTGTACTCCAACTCCCATCATCTGCAGTGTTCAGGCATGATGGGAGTCCAACACTTCTAAAGAGTTGTACGTTCCGCATCCTTGATGAATAGGAGTATAGTCTTAATTGAAAAATTCAATGGGATAGTCTATTATTTTATTAACGCACATTGCCAACGTGAGTTTCATATGTATTTCCTTCAGAGAACAGACGTCATCCCCTTTAATATTACCATTCTTGAGGGACATTGTTTTTTCCCCTTTTCTTTTTTTTAAAAAAACAGAGGTTTTCTAGAACAATAGTAATAAAACTTAATTACTTTCTTCCTTTTACAGTAGCAGACACATTAATAAGATTTACAGTGGGTCTCCAGCAGCAGTAACAAATTAGGCAAGCATTTTTGTGGTTAATGGCCTTGCAACAAAGTATTCCGTATAGCTTTCAATTCAAATAAAACTATTTAAAGGAGGGCACATTCTTACAAGAAGAATGCACTCCTTTTCAAAGCAAACCAAAATATTGCTGGATTTCATGGCACAAATACAAGCTTTCTTGCCCAGTTTCCTTTTCCTTCAGAATATTTCAATCTACCTGCATGATAAAGAATTTTGCTACATGTTTGTGGCAGCGACACTGGAAATAAAATATCTTAAAAAATAATATATTTTATTTTAAATTATCACTAGCACTATAACAGAAATGATGGAATACACTCCACTGTAATAATTAAAATGCTCTCTACAATTTTACAGTATCTAAGTGTAACAATGAAAGCAAATGAATGTATTTTTGTCTTTTAACTCTCTGAAGAAAAGTGAAAATATTCAAATAGTTTCCCCTTAATTAAATTTGAACAGAACAGGAGAGCAGACAGTGAAATGTTAACATACAAGATTTTGCGACACAATTGCTTTATTGTCCTTTAAGTATGAACTACAGTCCAGTTTTATAAGTCAAAGCAGGTTCTTTATATACAGACATCTTCTTTTATGCAGAAGCTGAGAGATTTGCCCACCTTCCAAGCTATATTTACATATAAATTATTCTTATTTTATACACAAAGGGAAGTTACTGCTAATTGAATTCCTAGAATGTAAGCTGTGTGAATCATCTTCAATTTTTATTCCTAAATTTGGGGATAATTTACATATCATCTGTTCTCTTAATTAAGGACTGGGTGCAGTATATTGGATATAAAGTGAGGGACAAGCATATGAGAAATCTCTAAGAACCCTAATTTTAGCTATAGATATTGTGAATTTTGGCAACTCCCAACATTTTAGTCTTTGCTTTCCATCTGTAAAATGGGGACAATAATGACCCAACTTAAAGAGCAATTATAGAAGAAGAGAAATGGAACAAACCCAACTTGCACACCTAAAATGCTATATAATATGGAGGTATTAGCAATTTGATTTTCCCCCCCAAATGAAGGTGTTGCAAGGTAAAGCATTTCTATTCTGAAATCCCTGCTACAATATGTTAGTAGAAGGCCATTTTTAAATAAATACCAACCATGCACAACTTAGTTTTGTGGAAGCACCTCAACAGAAAAATGATGAGTTTTGTGTGTGTGTTTTGGTGCCTGACTGCTTTTCTTTTTAATTAAAAAAAAATCAAGGAAAGGTAACATTTATTTGTTTAGGCATTTAATTAGTGTTTAATATTTCAAAAATCTCTAAATGGTGTACAGTCAAACAAACAAACAAACAAACAAACAAACAAACAAACAAACAAACAAACAGAATATCATTAAAACACTAAAAAATCCAAGCCCCTATAACCTAAAACCAGTAAACCAGCAATATAAAGGTAAAGGTAAAGGTACCCCTGCCCGTACGGGCCAGTCTTGCCAGACTCTGGGGTTGTGCGCCCATCTCACTCAAGAGGCCGGGGGCCAGCGCTGTCCGGAGACACTTCCGGGTCACGTGGCCAGCGTGACATCGCTGCTCTGGCGAGCCAGAGCCGCACACGGAAACGCCGTTTACCTTCCCGCTAGTAAGCGGTCCCTATTTATCTACTTGCACCCGGGGGTGCTTTTGAACTGCTAGGTTGGCAGGCGCTGGGACCGAGCAGCGGGAGCGCACCCCGCCACGGGGATTCGAACCGCCGAACTGACGATCGGCAAGTCCTAGGCACTGAGGTTTTACCCACAGCGCCACCCGCATCCCTAAACCAGCAATATAAAAGCAAATAAAACAAAAATTCAGAGAAAACATGTAAAAATATTTCCAGTCTTACGGGTTGGAGAAAGCTTGGGCAAAAAGACAAATCTTCCCAACACGTCTGAACATGGAGCTCCAAATCACATGCAGTTTGGCGCCAAGAATGTAATCCTTGAGCTTCTATTGTTTCCAACCATAAGTCCATAGTCAACTAGATGTCACAAAAGAATGACTCTATACTTCAGGAAGCCATTGCCTTGAGGGACTCAACTCATTCCAATACTGAAGGTTCCATGTGGGCGTTTCAGTGGTGTAATCACTGTGTCAAAATTTCACAAGGTACATGTTGTGGCTATAACTTCATAGATGTAGGTTATCATACAGACACAGATGGGCTCACATTAGTGATTGTCCATCTGAATTCGGAAGCAGAAATTTCAGAATCTCATCAGTAGGGCTTAAACAAATCTCGGTATTGAATGGGTTTTGTTCTACTTTCTGCATACTGAATCCTAGTACTAGTTTGGAACAACTGCATGAGAGCTTTTATGGAATACAGTGGTACCTCGGTTTACGAACTTAATCCGTTCTGGAAGTCCGTTCTTAAACCGAAACCGTTCTTAAACTGAGGCGCGCTTTCCCCAATGAGGCCTCCTGCAGCCTTCTACCATTTGGCTTCCGTTCTTTAGACTGAGGTAAAGTTCACAAACCGGGACATTACTTCTGGTTTTGTGGAGTTCATAAACCGAATAGTTCGCAAACAGGGCTGTTCTTAAACTGAGGTACCACTGTATCAGATAGTGCAGGATATAAATGTGATAGATCTTGGCTTATCCCAACCTATGTCACATGGTTTTTCTAAGATAGGAAAATCACAAGGAAGCAGCCCTGAGCTCCTTGGAGTGATGCTGAGATACTGCTAGGGCTCAGCCAAAACAGACCACCCAACATAAGAAGATAGGAAAAGGCCTGATGGATCAGGATCCAGAATCCTGTTCTTATAGTAGCCAACCAGGCACCTTTAAGCAAGACCTGGCCACAACAGTGGTCTCCCCACTTGTGATTCCCAGCATCTGATATTCAGAGGTTGAACATCAGAGGTGGAACACAGCCAACAATATCCTTATTCTCTGCAAATTTGTCTACAGTGGTACCCCGCAAGACGAACGCCTCGGAAGACGAAAAACTCGCTAGACGAAGGAGTTTTTCATTTTCTTAGCCGCTTCGCAAGACGCATTTCCCTATGGGCTTGCTTCGCAAAACGAAGCTTGCCCCGCAAGCTCCGGGGATAGCGGGGAAGCGCAGCGCGTCTTCCCCGCTGTCCCTGGACCTCTTTTGAAGCAAGGGGCGGCAACGGGGAGAAGCGATTCTCCCCGCTGCCCCTTCCCTTGCTTTAAAACAGGTCCGGGGACAGAGGGGAAGGCGTGCGCGCCTTCCCCTCTGTCCCCGGAGATTGCGGGGCAGGCAACGGGGAGAAGCAATCTTCTCCCCGCCGCCCCTTGCTTTAAACAGGTCCGGGGACAGAGGGGAAGGCGTGCGGCACTTCCCCTCTGTCCCCGGACGGTCTCCATAGGAACGCATTGATTGATTTTCAATGCATTCCTATGGGAAACCGTGCTTCGCAAGACGAAAAACTCGCAAGAAGAAAAAACTTGCGGAACGAATTAATTTCGTCTTGCGAGGCACCACTGTAATTCTGTTTTAAAGTTGGTGGCCATTACTACATTTTGTGGGAGAACATTGCATAGTTAAACTATGCACTGTGTGAAGTGGTACTCACTTTTGCCGAACCTGAATTCTGCAACATTCAGATTCATTGGATGGCTCTGAGTTCAAGTATTATGGGTGTGTGGGTGTGTGGGTGTTTCTATCCACTTCCTCCACATCGTGCAAAACTGTATACACCTGTGTTATGTTGTTGTTGTTTAGTCGTTTAGTCGTGTCTGACTCTTCGTGACCCCATGGACCAGGCCACACCAGGCACTCCTGTCTTCCACTGCCTCCTGCAATTTGGTCAACTCATGTTGGTAGCTTCGAGAACACTGTCCAACCATCTCATCCTCTGTCGTCCCCTTCTCCTTGTGCCCTGTGTCATGCCCCTCCTTAATTGCATTCTTGGTAAACTAGAAAGGCCCAAATGCTGCAACCTTTCTTCACAGGGGAAATGTCACCACTATGACTAAGACTGAAAAGTTGGGGACTCTTTTCAGCGGTTGGGATATGGGAGCAGAGATCAAGTACAAGCATACATTTACCATTGGTGCCATTCACACTTCTCACTACAGTTCTACTCAGAAGACTCCAGAGAGATCAGGAAGCACTGCTTTTACCCTTAACTCAGATCTGCCTTCATGACAATGGCATGCATCAATTAGGAGCACAATTGTTTTTCCACCAGGTAGCAGTAGCAGTGGAAAAGGTGAGGGGGGGAAATTGTGTGAAACCATTTTTATGACTTCCCCATATGACTCCCTCTCGACTATTTTGAGCTGAAAATTCATCTCCGTCAAAGTTTTGGCTCAGCTGAGCTCTAAAATATTTTTACAAATATGACAAATAACAACATAAATAAAATTAACAATGATGTATGCATGGGGGGCTGAATTCAAACTATTGGTTCTCATATATATATAAAACCTGAGTTCTGAGTTTTGGGAAGTAGCTGCTATGCCATCTAAATAATCTTCTCAAAAATTAAAGCTGGGGTTGAGAAAATTCAGAGACACAGTGTGTAATAAAAGAAATCTGAAGAACCTGCCAACTTATCGTAGCTTTGATGTTTTGGTGAGAAGCCTTGGAAGGTTGCCAGGTAGCCTCCTATCTGATGATATCCTCATAGGGTGCTGCTTTTTTCTGACAAAGAGGTAGAAAGAGATCTTGCTGAATGAATCACATGGTGCCATCTCATATCTTATGGGCGAGAGGTCTTGGGGACAAAAAGAAAGAAAATGATTGTAGAAAAGGTTGCGCAAAAATGTTTAGTTAATGTTAAAAAACTGCTCTTCTCTTCCTTTTAATTTCATAATATGGAACTTATCATAGCAATCAAGCCAAACAAAAATCGACTGTGCCTTATCCCTGTTGCTAATAATGATGATGGTAAAGGAGGAGATGGGGTGGAACAGTTCTAAGTATTTTTAGAGTGAGGAAATGTGGAAGGATGAATACCCCAGCAGACAAATCACAAGCAATGAAAACTGATTTCGGTGAACAAAATGTATAGTGCTAGTCCATAAGATATCTCTAAGCAATGAGAGGTTTCGAGTGGGGATCTTAAGTGAAATGCAAATTTTGGCAATGACTTTCCAGAACTTGATAGTAAGAGAAAACAGCCTTGAAAAGGATACTGAAAATAGCAAGTTGAATGCTGAAGAAACTAAGGGTGCATTTACAATGTGCGTTTGCAAATTTTCAACAATGAAGCAAAATATTTCTTTAGCTCTGTGAGGAGTAAATTCACTTTTAAACAGAGTTCTTATGATTTGATTCTGGCATTCATACATTAAGCATTACATAACGAAATGGGTAAAACTGTTGTCGTACCGAGAACAATAATTTATCCATTCTTGTACCCCAGTTTCATCTCTTAGGCGTACTTTTTTGGGGGAGAGGGGATAAAAAAAGGAAAAGTATATGGAGATCTTGAACTTCATTGCAAGACTTCCTTGCAAAAGATTTGTAAGACCCAGAATCTTATGAATTCATCTCATGTGATGATTTTCTATTTCCATAATTCAGGAATATCTCAAGAATATGTCCTAAGCTAAAATCCTGACAATAACCTTTTTAAGAAAGCTTTCTATAAAGTCTTTAAAAAGTTTACCAAAGTCATAGTTCTCCTCACTGAAAAACAACATTTCAAAGGCATCAAACCTTAAGCCTTTAGTAACCAAGCATCAAGGATTCTGAATTAGCCCTATAGTTTTTCCAAATCAGTTCCATTATAAACAGCAGAAGCTGGCTGAGGAACATGCACAGGCAACCCATTAATCACCATCTGCTACATTTAGCAACAATCCACAATACTATATAAACCCATAAATTCACGACCAAGGAGCCATATACTTCTCTGAACATTTCTACACTTGTACCTGTATCTTCCTGAATGGTCTGTCTTAACACAAAGTGAGGAGTTATCCTGATAGGATAAAAGCAGTGCTTTTATGCTGCTGCTGCTGCTGCTGCTGCTGCTGCTGTTGTTGTTTTATTTTAAAAAATCCCTCACTGTAGAGACAGTTAAAGGGCTCCTGTTGTTTTCTTAACCATGCATTTCAAAAACCCTAAAGAATTTTCAAAAAAAAAACCCTAAAGAAAATGAAAAGAACTCCCAGCCACAGACAGGGTTGGCTAAAGCCAGCCAATCATAAAATGATATATGAAGAATGTACTAGAAAAGAGCCAACGTTGGCAACTGTGGCCAGCGAGGAAGTTGCAGAGGTGGGCAAAATACTGGCCAGGTTGCATAGAGGCGAATGGGTAAAAGGGTAATTTGTACTTCAAAACACAGGTGGTAAACTGAAAAAAATATTACAAGTTCTGTGAGTCACTATAAAAGTCCTAGGCCATATTTTGACCCAGGGAGCATTGTCTCACAAAATGGTTGCCACTTCTGCAGATGGCAACGGACATTTGTGTTCATAGAGTTGTAAAGCTACAAGGGACCACGAGGGTTATCTTGTCCGTGTCCTGCAATGCAGCAATCTTTTGCCCAACATGGGGCTTGAAGAACACAACATGATGGAAACACACTCTTCTGCAAACTAGCACACACACATACATGTGTTTGTGTGTAAATACATGCATGAATACAACCACAAACACTCATCCAGTTGCTATCTAGCTCTTACATGTATCTTCAGAATTTGAGGAGGCTTACTCACAGGTAAGGAAGTACAGAAATGCAGCCTAAAATAACAACTCCGAGTTAAAACTGAACAAATCTGCTACCTATAGGTCTATCCTGCTAAGGCAGCCAATTGCATTTTGTGGAAACATATAATATAATATAAATATAAAATTTGTGTGTATGTATTAAAGGAGAAAACATTGTTATGTAGTAACTCCATGACTGAAAAATGCAAACAGAGAAAGATCATTAAGAATGTTATTACTTATTACATCCCTAGTTAAAGGTATCACTGTTAAAGTGATTAAGACAACTAAATTGGAATGTTTTGTTTTATTAAAGAACATCATCAGAAGTCACTTGAATGAAGACAATCTATGCAGGCGTGAGAGCAGATCATGTTGTTAAAAGGAGCAATAGAACCATATGAGACAAATGCTCTAAAACAAAAGAGGACCAGATAATATATTCGAGACTTATATTCAGTGCTTTTTTTTCTGGGAGGGGACGCAGGGGTACGCATACCCCTAAACATTTTGTGAATCTAAGTTTGGCCTCCTTGAGGGGCAGTATTTCAATATGACTAGGAAAATGAGAGTACCCCTAAACATTTTTAAAGAAAAAAAGGACTGAATATTGCATCTTTAAGAAGTGTGGCAATAGGAACATAGATAGTCACCATCTAGACACAATGTTGAACACTTCTAAAATTTTAAAGAAAAGCAGAAAGGCTAAACCACCAACAAGTACAATTAGGAATGCAATATTTCAAGCCACCGTAATAGTCCCTCGCAAAACGTAACTTAGAAGGATGCAATTATAAGATTTGTAGCCATTGTCTAAGGCGGGAGATGACAAGAGAGACCATTGCTGCCTAGGCATACAAATCTCCACAGGAAGTATCTGGAACTGAACAGCTAGTAACAATCACAGCCATGCAATTAAATCCAATACCCTCTTAGGAAGCAAATTGCAAAACAAACAACCACAGAAGATATAATTTCAGAAAAGGGAATAATAAAAGAATGGTATGTGGTCCCCAATTACCAGTTAGAAAGCCGCTAATAGGAGAGGTAACACACATACAAACTGTACAGAGACCAGTTAAGAACACCAAAATGGAGGCTTGGGGAGAATGCATGCCCCCAATTCATTTATTTAATTTTTAAATAGATAATCCATTCTACTTTGGGGAGTGCTTTGCAGTATTTTGAAAAACTGCAAAGTAACTTTTTCATTAACACAAAAAAATAAATAAATCTTGAATCAGATTACAAAGGATTTGTGCTTGACGTCTCAGCTTGGAACCCTTAGATATTTGGAAGAAATTCAAAACCAACAATTCAGAACCTAAACTGATGCATTCTAGTAAATTCTTATTCATACACACCCACCCAGGCACACACCTCAGTTAATGATCAAAAGAGGAAAAATTCCAGAAGTGTATTGCACTGTACTGTGTGCTCATAGCAGGGAAGTCCCTCCTTCCTGGGACGCTGGTACATTTTTATGTTTGTTTAGTTTCTTTGTGCATAATAAAAATGCAAATACATACACACACAAGAAAAGAAGTGCGCTGAAGCAGGGCTGCTGCCTTGCCCCTGAGACTGAGGGGGCCTGGGGTCTTGCGGAATTGGCGTGCACTTATGACATCAGCACGCCTTGTGGCATGCGTGTGTGGCCACCGCAAAATTTTGTGGGCCCTTTCACCGTAAACATTGGGGGTGCCTATAACCCTAGAGTCTGTCAGGACTGGCCCATACGGGCAGGGGTACCTTTACCTTTTTATACTTGGCGGCTACGTACTGAAGCAAAGCCAAGGAAGGGCTATCCTGAGGCTTAATGGTATAGTGCAGGGCTCAGCAAACTTTTTCAGCAGGTGGCCAGTCCACTGTTCTTCAGACCTTGTGGGGGCCAGACTATATTTTGAAAAACATATATGAATGAATTCCTATGCCCCCACAAATAAACCAGAGATGCACTTAAAATAAAACCACACATTCTACTCATGTAAAAACACGCTAATTCCTGGCCATCTGCAGACCAGATTTAGAAGGCGATTGGGCCGGATCCTGCCCCCGGGCCTTAGTTTACCTACCCATGGTATAGTAGAACCTCGGGTTTTTTAACTTAATCTGTTCCAGAAGACCGTTCGGCTTCTGAAAAGTTCGAAAATTGAGGATCAATGGGTGGGCTGCAAAGTCAATGGGGGGAAAAATGAAAAATGAAAATAATTTGAAAACCGGAGCAGTTTGGGAGCCAAAACGTTTCAAAATGGAGGCGTGAGGGAACCAAGGTTTGACTGTAGCGTATCTTGCTGAAGAGCCAACCGGCAGAATATCAGGAAAGCAGCCAAGATTTAATTCCTTCTGTTATAGAATGGGAGTTATCCCCTTCACTTTTGCCATTCTTTGGTGGTAAGTTTTACCACCCTGCTACTGCATGAACTGCTTGTAGCTCTTATTTCATCATGGTCTTTTAAGAATATCAAGTGATGGTGGCCTTGCTGGTGGCTCGGGGCCACTGGTGCTCTGGCACAATAAACTGTGGTGCAGAAACAAAGGGAGCTATACAGAGCTGTACTTGGGGATGCTACTTGCCTGGGGAAAGAGGCATAAGACTATGGAATACTTGGGCTTACAAAGTCTTAATACTTAGGCCTTGCTAACTCCAAGTGTGGTGTAGTGGTTAAGAGTGGTGGACTCGTAATCTGGTGAACTGGGTTTGCTTCCCCGCTCCTCCACATGCAGCTGCTGGGTGACCTTGGGCCAGTCACACTTCTTTGAAGTCTCTCAGCCCCTCTCACCTCACAGAGTGTTTGTTGTGGGGGAGAAAGGGAAAGGAGAATGTTAGCCGCTTTGAAACTCTTTAGGGTAGTGATAAAGTGGGATATCAAATCCAAACTCTTCTTCAAACTCTTCTTCCAAATTGTAGAATACAGCTGAACCACACATTGTAATGATGATGATGATGATGATGATGATAATAATAATAATAATAATAATAATAATAATAATCTATAATAATAATAATTTATTTCTACCCTGCCCATCTGGCTGGGTTTCCCCAACCATTCTGGG